TTGACTAACCTAGTTTAGGCAGGTATTTCTGCTTCTGTTCTTCTGTTCCATATGCATTGATAGGGTGCATGACCAACGAAGACTGGACACTCATAACTGAACGGTACCCACTGTCCACTCTCTCCACCTCTCTGGCGATCAGACCGTAGGCCACGTAACTAGTGCCCGCACAGCCATATCCTTCAACACGAAAACATCAGACACTGTACATTATACATACATGCATTTTTTATTTTTCATGAACAACAAAAAGACGGTAACATGTAAGCTGTACACACAAGCTCTTAAGTTAATAAGACTGTGGTTTGTGGTTTCAACACCTGATTTTACCTTGAATCGTAGGCCCAAGGACGCCAAGTTCTCCCATCTCGTTTACAATCTCCCGATGGAAATCTGAAGAAATCAGCCACAGATTTGAATTTTAGGCATTTTAAATAATCATTAAAAGGATAAGTCACCCAATGTGAAAGTTGTTGGGTGAAAAAAGTCCTAAATAATTTAATCTCAAGCTGTTCCAAACTTTCATTCATCATCAAAACACTAATAAAGAGCGTGATTTCTATCCCTCCATTGAAAGTCTGTTCACTTAAAACTCTGACAGATTGAAATGTTTGTAAAGAGATTGTAAAAGAAATCCATATGAATCAAGCAGTTCAATCCAAGTCTTCACTTTATATGATGAACAGACTTAATTTAGGCTTTTATTCACATTGATCAGTGAACACATGTAGAGCACTCAATATGATAAACGGAAGCTTTACCAAATTTAAGTGCTTAATGTACATTCACTGATCAATGTTTATATGCGAGTAATAGCCTGAATTAAATCTGTTAATCATATAACAAATCACATTTCTTCGGAAAACTCGTTTTAAACCGCTCGATTCACATGGATTTATTTTACTTCCTCTTTTTGAACTTTTTGAAGCATCAGAGTTATTTAGTTATTTATTTTAGAACTTTTATTTTTGGGTGAACTATCCCTTTAATTATGCGTGAAGGCTGTCGACTGCTGATCTGATCCATCAGATGTGACTAGATCTTCCACTTACGCTCATTCCTGTTGGCCATGAGGATACGGGGCATGAGCTTGTCCTCACAGTACGTGCGGAAACTGTCTCGGATCATGATCTCCTCTTCTGTGAGCTGCCCATCCAGATCCAAAGCATCTCGCCAGTTAAAATGCACCTTAGCTAGAAATCATTTTTCAATCATCAAATTTTTTTCAGCTCAAATACAATAATCAAGTCAAATGGGCTCTATGCACGGCGGTATTTCCGGTGAAGGATTAAGGATGCTCGATAACTTCCGCCGATCGTAGAGTCCAATGCAATACCGAGAATTTATATTGAATTTTATACTCCATGGTTATAATAAAGAAACGTTAGTCACAAAAACAGATAAAACATACACCCCTCGTTGTGTTTATGCTTCTTTTTAAAATTATATTAAATAAACATAACTATATATCAAATTACATCTAAACGTATGTACGTTTCGTTTCAAAGACGGGAGGACAGTAAATTTTGAAGACTCTGCCATAATCCCGTTTTCTTCTGTTCTCCTCCGCTTTAATCTCCACAACCGGAAATGGACGAGCATCCTTGCGTCAAATGCGGAACTTATGCGTGCATATAGCCCATTAACAATAGAAATGAGAAAATATGAAACAAATATATTTACGTCTTTTCGCTGTTATTTTCACTTGCTCCTCTGTCTCTGAAAAATAAAGGATAAGGGTATTAGCACAATCAAGCCGATGCTAAGCTTTAACATCATCAGGATACGTATTCTCCAACTTTATGTAATTTGAGAATTTTTTTAGCCTAAGAAATGTAAAATAACTTTAGTTTACAGATATATATATATATTTTTAAATGTATTGATGATCCCGCAATGCATTTACACATTGATGATGCCACTGGTTATTAGTTTGCTATAAAAAGTTTCCTGTTTTGTCTACTTTTCTTGTCCTCACACAACTGATATGATAATTGCGAGTTGAGTTATGGTGAATTAGTGATCTAACCGTATGCAGCAGGTGCTGAAGTGCCCTGGGCCCTTGACACAGAGAGCAGAGAACATCGCTGTGAGTTCAACAGCAGGCGTGATAATGCTGTTCTTAATGCCATGGTGTATTCAGACCTGAAAATGTAACAATACTTGTTAGTGTTATAGCAACATTATAGCAGTGTTTACAAAAGTTTTTGTCAATGTCATTTTAATACTTCCAGTGGTAATTAGCTGTATGTTGGTTTTAAGTTCCATACATTTTTACACAAAGTAATAATAAACAAGTAATGATACATATTTTTATCTTTTGTTTTTAATTAATAAACACAGTAAAATTCAAGCATTTTTAACAATAGCAACTCTAATATTTCTAGGCAAAATCGTGAAGTGTTACTTTCTCAGTTATTATTTTTCCTTAAGGAAGTTTTTTTCTATTGCATAAGTGTCTAACATTAGTCTACGCATTGTTACACAACGCCAACTCATATTATACTGTACACATGTACAGATTTCAAATCGCTTATATTTCAGATTTACAATATTCAGCTGTTTTTCTTTCATTCGTTGTGCAGTCAAACTAAAAATTATGTATTTTAAAATCCTACCTTCACAGCCTCTGATCAGATGATTTCCCTGTACTGTCTGTTACACTTTTTATATTCAACTATTGGAGGAACGTGTCACGTGCACAAATTGGAAGAACGAACCCTCCATCTTTTGTGTGGGTGTGTTTCATAATGCCGTTGACTCTGCTTTATGTTTTATAATGTCTTCGACTGCATTCACCCCTCAGTAACGTCAATAATTATGATTTTAAACTATATAATAACATACATCAATGATTATATTATCAAAATATGGAAAATAACGAACAATGACATTTTAAATTTAAATTTTGAAGTAAATTTGTTCTATCAAGCCACACACAAAATGGCGGATGACAACGTCCGAGCTCCTGTGACATGTCGAAGGCGTTTGCGGCACCTCGCGCTCTGATTGGATGATTAGAAGAGGCGTCTGCGCGGAACGGAATTTTTAAAGCACATTGCTCTGTTACACAACATTAAATGACTGCAAGGCCGGAGTCGTCGAAAATATCCCCTTAATAGGAATATTTTCACATTGCTCTTTAATGCCTGCTAGAAGAAAAGAAAGAAAGAAAAAAGACTTTCACAGATCTAGCTCTTTTTGTGTTTGGTCTGATTCTCTCTCTTTTACCCTCCTTGGGGCAACTTTATTTTTTATTAGCTAGTATAATAATACAAAGTCAGGGTTGTAGAACTTGCCCCAAGCAAATGTTTATGATTTTTGGTTGGTAAAATGAATAACATTCTTTTAAAGGCCCACTGCCTTGAAACGCATCATTCAATGTTGACGTAATTTAACAGAAAGCAGGTGTGACATTTCGAACAGTTAAATAAAAATAGCCAATAGCATTTTGTTTATACCACAGCCACAAAGCGCCCGCGCCCTCAGATTACTTGGACGTGGCTGTGATTACAAGAGGTAAAAATGATATAATTACTGTTCGTTTTCTCACACAAACTGCTCGTTTTGTGTCTCTTAGCCCATCAACGTATAGGCTACTTACATTTACGAGTCATTACATCATGTTTCATTTGGACTTCTCTGTGCATGCTCTTTGAGGTGGTGACCATAGGCCTGCATTATATGACTGATAGACACAAACGGTTTGACCTAAACATGTCCAAATTGAAACTACTGCGGAAACAAAGACACCTACATCTTGGATGCCCTTGACGGTGAGACCCTCCAGTGAGGTTGGAAACCATCTGATTATTTTTACACTCTTTTGCTGTTTTTGTTTTGAGATGTTTCAGTGTAATTTGAAGTGGAAGACATGCTTTTTGTGGTTCTTCAAGTGCCTTATATGAAGTCAAGTCACTTTTATTTCTATAGCGCTTTTATAGCTTCAAATTGATAAACAGGAAAATAGCAGGGCAATGGAAATTCCTTTATGTAAAGACAATAGTGTCATAATTTATCTCAAATTTAGCTTATATGTAGCCTACTCACCTGCTTCTTTTGCCATGGTTGCCCTTTGGCTCTGCAGCTTTATAACCCTTTAAACCGAATATTGTAAGCCATTTGAAAGAAGAGTATAGCGTATCTGTCTTTGTTATATTGCCTGGACTGATATATTGTTATATTTATTGTTTTATTCCTGATCAACACACGTAAGCCTGTTTTAAAAAATTCTCTATATAGTTATAAATAAATATATCATTTAAATATAATAAATAAAAATAAACACCCTTCCCCCACTCCCCAGAAAAAAAGGGTGGGACACCCTATAAGACTTGATTCGATTTGAGTGCTGGTTAAAACAAATTTTAAAACTCACAATTACAACTTTACACTTGCTGATTATTTTTATAATCTTTTTTTTTTTTGTATATAAAATTTTAACTTGCAGTTAAAACTAAACCAGTTTAGTAAAAGGTGTCGGTGGCGTGTAGAAATTTGTCACCTGGTGTGAAACATGATTCCGTTAATTACATTATTCATGAAAATAATAGAGTATCAGACTTGGTAAGTGTTGTTAAAACGTTCATTTAATTAGTATTTCTAGGAACCGTCCTGTTTTTCCGGCGAACTGCGTGAATTTGCAGTTTTTCTCGCAAATAAACAAAACAAAACAACAAAACAAGTCTTTAGAATTTAGAAACATTGCGTTAGGCTCATAGACTCACCCTTTAAGAGATTTAAAGTTAGTTCATGTTTTTAAAAGTTGTCAGTGCTAGGACTATTGAGTATTATACGACCAATTTGTCTGTTTCTTTAGTATTTTACAATTAAAGGTAACTAAAAGTGTGATTTCTTGATGTGCCAAGCATCGGCGATTTTCAGGGAAGGAGCGTTTATGTTTCATTGGCTAACACGACTGTCTATCATTTTTTCCTCCCCTCTCATTGGTGGATTCAGCCCTCACACACTCTCCTTGGAAAAAACGAAACCCATCGTACTGTTAGAATGTGTTGTCGTCTGCCATACACGCCTCTACTGTAGAGCAGCGGAATTACTGATGGACAATTCCTCACAAGATTAGGGAACGGCGATACAATTCCTTTTCAGATTTAAGTGACTGCCACAACTCCGCATTATTTATTAGCAATGGAGCCAGAGGAGAAAACCCCAGAATCCAAATATGGTAAGACGTTTTGATATTTTGGGGTTCCTCCTTCAGAAAGTGGTAGGGATGGTCCTCTGAGGGAAACAATGACTAATACATGGGGCGTGGGTGGGTCTCAGGCATTTTGATGAAGAATACTGGTAGCCTAATGCAGACTTGCTCACTGGTGGTAGACTTAAATCATAAAGCACTTCATTAAAGCAGTGCGAGAGAGAGGACACAATTGTAACGTTACGGATGTTAGCAAGAAAACAATAGGCGTGTGTTGTTGAAACACATGGCTGGCGCAATTACTCTCAGGTCAATAATTACTGCGTTCATCATGTCGTTGATTTATGCGCATAATAAGTAAATGTAAGAATCGCCACTCTAGGCTACCATTGCGTTACTACACACCCATTATAAATAGTAATTTCATTCTGCCTTTTAAATGTTTGTAGAAGCATTTTCAGTGGCTTAGTTTGCTTCAAAATGAGCCATAATAATAAAATAACGTTACCAAGGTTTGTAAAAACGAGTGTGTTGCTAGGATTGTGTGTTTACTCTAAAACGAATACAAAAATTATTTTATTAACCATAATTCTAACTTTAACTGTGATATTTATTGTAAGACCATTACTATAATGCAACCACATGTAGAACCATGGCTTTCCTTTACCATACTAAACAAGACGATTTATTTTACTGAAACAACAGGTAGTAGCCTATTTACTATAAAAAGGTTGGAGGCTGACCCCATTTCACAGACTATTATAGTAAATTAGTTTATTTTTTCTTATATTTATTTTAAATGTTATGATGGCAAATAGTTTTTCCCAAAATAGCTACTGTAGTTTGTGTACCATTTTATGACCCCTTATGTGAAAGACAAGATCTTGACCAAGGCCAGACTCAAACCCTGCTGTCTCATAAGCACCATAGTTCTAGATGTCAAAAAGTCAATTCTAGTGGGTAAAATAACAAATGACTGTCCTAATTTTTCGTTCTGACATCTGAAGTACTGAAGTAATTTCCACCAACCGATACAATGCGTAATATCTGAGCCAATTCTTAGCTTCAGTGTGTGCTGTTCAACCCAAGATGATTCTAGCTTAATGACACTGAAGGTGTGGGAATTGATATCATGGGTCAGAAAATGAGCTGAACCTACCTGAATATATTCTGCTACTAAACTTTGGTCTGATTCTCAACTCTTCTCTTTAGAAAATGGTTAAGGATAATAATACTCCTTGATTACATCATCTTAAAGAGCTACTTTTAAAAAAGTCACTCACAGCCTGATGACACAATACAACATGTCTAAACTAGACTCAGCTTAAGATTCAGACTTCCTAAAATAAAGGCTCCTAAAAGAACCTTTAAAACCCATGCAACCTTTTCATTGTAAAAAAAAGGTTCTTTAGATTATTACATTGTCCTTCACACTAAAACAGTGGTTGTTTTAAGAACTGTTCTTCTGTGGCACAAAAATGCTTCTTCTGTGGCATTGCTGTGAAACCTGCTTGTTGGAACCGTTAGTTTTTATTTTAGATTTCCTGAGACTTACTGAAGCCTTCTCATTCCTGAACTTTAGTTGAAGAGTTTTCAAGTTCTGCTTTTGAGAACGAGTCGTAACGTGATTTTCAGGAGTCTGGGCAGGAGTGATGTAGACTCACACACTCAAATGACTTGTTGTCATCTGTCTAGTTTGCATTGTGGTCTTTTAACCACATGAACACCAGAGTTCTTTATAGTCAGCTTCTGACTAAGGCTATGGGGAGTGCTTCCTTATTATGCCTGTAAGTCTCTAAGGTTTGCTCGAGAATGACAATGATGCGTTTCTCTCCAGTTGCCTAGCAATCCCATAACATCCTAGCAATGCCCTTATAACTACAAAGGCATCTCAAATATCCGTGCCCCTTATTGTGTTTGGAGATCACGTGACTTTGCGGGTGAAAAAGGTCAGTTTGAAACGGGGGCCAAAGTGTGTGATTAGAATCAAGCCGTAGGTTGCCTTCTGGCCATATGTCTGATCAGATCAAGCTGGAACAGAATGCAAAATCTGGAAGAGAGAGACAGAGCAAATTGATAACGCAGAAACATGCCTTTCCACATAAACAACAGCTGTGCACTACAGATTGCCTTTATGAAAATAGCTCCCTCTTTTTGGAGCAAAATGTCAATTTGATCGGTTGATTTGTAATTTGAGGCTGTTGATCATTGCTTTTAACTGCACAGCTCTCAGGATCATTGTAAATCCATGTAACCTGGATTTTCTTGGACTGAACACGTCGTGTACACATTAGGGCTGGGTAATAAATATCGATTTCTCGATATTAATCGATTCTCATTTTTACAAACCGATATCGATTCTTAAATCTCAAGAATCGATTATCATCCTGTTTCATTTGAATGAATGGATCATTGTATCGCGGCTGCGGGCATCCAAAAAATCGCAATAATCTATGTCCTTTGTTACTATTGATATGAAACAGTCTCAATTTTCAAATTACGTCCATTTTCTTTAGAAATTCAAAAACATAAATAGCGTTTTGGCGCTCTGGCGTGAGATCGCTCTGGCGCAGCTCCAGAGAAGCAGCTGATCTCTCTTCCGGCTTAATAATACCAGTCACAGCACGAAATCAACATGAATGAGCATCTGAAAGTGTGTTAAAATATAGAGTACAACTTATCGAAATCCGGATCATGTCACATTGATTCGCTCAATCAGCGTTTCAACCGAGGAAAGACGTCAGTTAAACAGCTTGTAATCAATGTATCGTCATATTTACCTCAGAAAACCCACATAACTCGTTAGTCCACACTCGTTAGTGTTCTTCAATATTTAATGCATATTTGAATAAATCTTGCAAGTTTTTATGACAGCCACCATTTAAATGTTTATATTTCATATAATCTTATTATAAAAATAAATAAAAGTGTAATTTAAGTGTTTGTATAGCTACAAAACAGTTAATTATTACCTTCATATTAGGCCAATGAAGCCTATAGGCTACAACTAGACTCACATAGTTTACAGCATTTAAGAGATTTGATTCCCTTGAGAAAAATTGCCATTTATTGTTACTGATATCCAAAATAATCGATATTGAATCGAATCGAAATCGAATCGAATTGCAAGCTTGTGAATCGAAATCGAATCGAATGGTGAAATTTGTCTCAATACCCAGCCCTAGTACACATTGTAAACAACATTGTCAAAATGACATTGAAATAAACAAACAATGGTGCCACCATTAAATCTTCTTTATGTCACAATCACCCAGAAATAACCTTGATTTGTAGAACTTGGATTCAGTTTGAAAGAATTGAAGGAAATGCATTCATTTTAAGAAGAACAATAAAAAAAAAAAACACCATTTTATGCATGATATGTAAATATACCACACATTTTCCGTCAAGGAAGTGCGTTTTGTTAGTAAAACAGTCAAGACGTATTACTGAGGATGACTAGTTTCCTGTTTCAAGAGGTAGGAAGTGGTGTACAGACTGTGGACGATAACAAACGTTAAAACTAAATATACTGAAAAGGCAATCTGATGGGAAAGGGTTCACATTATGGAAAACAAGGTTTGGCTTTTACCATTTTCTTTCAGTAATGCATTTTCAGAGCATTGAGAAGATGTGCTTTATTTGCTTCACATTTAGCTGAATTTATGTCTCTGAAGTACCAAACTAACATTGATCAGTCTCTATATTAGAGATTCATTTGGTTTAAAGACAACTGCTTAAAGGTGCTGTGTTTATTTTTAATTTTTTGTATTTTTTTTTTGACTGTACTAAAGCATAAAAAAAACACAATATGTTTTCGGTGATTTAGGAAACATGCTAAGTTCATATTTGTTTCTCTGAAAAACAATGCTATAGCCAGTTCTACTTAGAAATGTGCATTTAGAAGGTCTGTTTTGGACTGTGTGATTCTGCCCACTGCCATTTTTACCATTTTTTGACACCACGGGTTGCCAGTTGATGGAAAACATTGCGTATTGCACCCATGGAAGCCAGCAAATGAACTGGGTCATCAAGGACATCTTAAAGGGTTAGTTCACCCAAAAATGAAAATTCTGTTTTTAGACTTCCATTCATCTTTGGACCACAAATTAAGAAATTTTTTTATGAAATCTGAGTGCTGTCTCACTCCTACATAGGCTTGAGGGTGAGTAAACTTTAAGGAAATGAATAGTTAACATGAGGGTGAGTAATTACTGACAGGATTTGCATTTTTGGGTGAACTATCGTGATAACTTAAAGGGATACTCCACTTTTTTTGGAAATAGGCTCATTTTACCACTCCCCCAGAGTTAAACAGTTGGGTTTTACCGTTTTCAAATCCATTTAGCCGCTTTTCTGATATTTAGAAGAATATCAGTAACCAGACAGTTTCTGGTCTCATTGACTTCCATAGTAGGAAAAAAATATACTATGTAATGGAAGTCAATGAGACCAGAAACTTTCTGCTTACTGATATTCTTCTAAATATCAAAAAATTGGTAACTGGGGGAGTGGTAAAATGAGCCTATTTTCAAAAAAAAGTGGAGTATCCCTTTAAAAAGCCTCGTCGGCATCCATCTAAAAAGTTTAATGACCAAAGTAAACAACATGTACATTATCTCATAAACTTACAGCGTTACACTCGTCACATTCCATTGACAGTTGTGTTTGTTCCTGTTGCGTGTCCTCATTTTGGCAATCCACATGAGGAGAAGGGGGCGAGGGAAACCACTTACTCCAGTATTCTGAATTTGGACTTCTGCATGCATTCAACCACTTCCTGCCAGTATTACATACTGCACCTATAACTTTGAATAGTGTGAATAATACACAAATAGATTTCTTAAAGTAGTATGGGGCATGATAAGAGCTTCGTTGAGAGATGTGGGTCAGTGTGATTGTAGCTGTTGAAAGCTTGGGTCATTAGGGAGCTGTTTGTGGATAGCTAAGTGCGTCTGGGTCACTGATGATTGCTCTAAATGGGTGGCACCTCAATAAAATAAACTGTCAATAGTGCACACACACAC